AAGTTTACATACATACCCACACAATTTATGTATTTACATATCTAACATCTAAAGACTAGTAATTTAAGACAGGAGTGAGGAAAAGTGATAAAGCTGTTATCTTTTGTTTTATATCATGATATTTATTCTGTGAACTGAAAACTTTCAGGGAAGTTTACATACATACCCACACAATTTATGTATTTACATATCTAACATCTAAAGACTAGTAATTTAAGACAGGAGTGAGGAAAAGTGATAAAGCTGTTATCTTTTGTTTTATATCATGATATTTATTCTGTGAACTGAAAACTTTCAGGGAAGTTTACATACATACCCACACAATTTATGTATTTACATATCTAACATCTAAAGACTAGTAATTTAAGACAGGAGTGAGGAAAAGTGATAAAGCTGTTATCTTTTGTTTTATATCATGATATTTATTCTGTGAACTGAAAACTTTCAGGGAAGTTTACATACATACCCACACAATTTATGTATTTACATATCTAACATCTAAAGACTAGTAATTTAAGACAGGAGTGAGGAAAAGTGATAAAGCTGTTATCTTTTGTTTTATATCATGATATTTATTCTGTGAACTGAAAACTTTCAGGGAAGTTTACATACATACCCACACAATTTATGTATTTACATATCTAACATCTAAAGACTAGTAATTTAAGACAGGAGTGAGGAAAAGTGATAAAGCTGTTATCTTTTGTTTTATATCATGATATTTATTCTGTGAACTGAAAACTTTCAGGGAAGTTTACATACATACCCACACAATTTATGTATTTACATATCTAACATCTAAAGACTAGTAATTTAAGACAGGAGTGAGGAAAAGTGATAAAGCTGTTATCTTTTGTTTTATATCATGATATTTATTCTGTGAACTGAAAACTTTCAGGGAAGTTTACATACATACCCACACAATTTATGTATTTACATATCTAACATCTAAAGACTAGTAATTTAAGACAGGAGTGAGGAAAAGTGATAAAGCTGTTATCTTTTGTTTTATATCATGATATTTATTCTGTGAACTGAAAACTTTCAGGGAAGTTTACATACATACCCACACAATTTATGTATTTACATATCTAACATCTAAAGACTAGTAATTTAAGACAGGAGTGAGGAAAAGTGATAAAGCTGTTATCTTTTGTTTTATATCATGATATTTATTCTGTGAACTGAAAACTTTCAGGGAAGTTTACATACATACCCACACAATTTATGTATTTACATATCTAACATCTAAAGACTAGTAATTTAAGACAGGAGTGAGGAAAAGTGATAAAGCTGTTATCTTTTGTTTTATATCATGATATTTATTCTGTGAACTGAAAACTTTCAGGGAAGTTTACATACATACCCACACAATTTATGTATTTACATATCTAACATCTAAAGACTAGTAATTTAAGACAGGAGTGAGGAAAAGTGATAAAGCTGTTATCTTTTGTTTTATATCATGATATTTATTCTGTGAACTGAAAACTTTCAGGGAAGTTTACATACATACCCACACAATTTATGTATTTACATATCTAACATCTAAAGACTAGTAATTTAAGACAGGAGTGAGGAAAAGTGATAAAGCTGTTATCTTTTGTTTTATATCATGATATTTATTCTGTGAACTGAAAACTTTCAGGGAAGTTTACATACATACCCACACAATTTATGTATTTACATATCTAACATCTAAAGACTAGTAATTTAAGACAGGAGTGAGGAAAAGTGATAAAGCTGTTATCTTTTGTTTTATATCATGATATTTATTCTGTGAACTGAAAACTTTCAGGGAAGTTTACATACATACCCACACAATTTATGTATTTACATATCTAACATCTAAAGACTAGTAATTTAAGACAGGAGTGAGGAAAAGTGATAAAGCTGTTATCTTTTGTTTTATATCATGATATTTATTCTGTGAACTGAAAACTTTCAGGGAAGTTTACATACATACCCACACAATTTATGTATTTACATATCTAACATCTAAAGACTAGTAATTTAAGACAGGAGTGAGGAAAAGTGATAAAGCTGTTATCTTTTGTTTTATATCATGATATTTATTCTGTGAACTGAAAACTTTCAGGGAAGTTTACATACATACCCACACAATTTATGTATTTACATATCTAACATCTAAAGACTAGTAATTTAAGACAGGAGTGAGGAAAAGTGATAAAGCTGTTATCTTTTGTTTTATATCATGATATTTATTCTGTGAACTGAAAACTTTCAGGGAAGTTTACATACATACCCACACAATTTATGTATTTACATATCTAACATCTAAAGACTAGTAATTTAAGACAGGAGTGAGGAAAAGTGATAAAGCTGTTATCTTTTGTTTTATATCATGATATTTATTCTGTGAACTGAAAACTTTCAGGGAAGTTTACATACATACCCACACAATTTATGTATTTACATATCTAACATCTAAAGACTAGTAATTTAAGACAGGAGTGAGGAAAAGTGATAAAGCTGTTATCTTTTGTTTTATATCATGATATTTATTCTGTGAACTGAAAACTTTCAGGGAAGTTTACATACATACCCACACAATTTATGTATTTACATATCTAACATCTAAAGACTAGTAATTTAAGACAGGAGTGAGGAAAAGTGATAAAGCTGTTATCTTTTGTTTTATATCATGATATTTATTCTGTGAACTGAAAACTTTCAGGGAAGTTTACATACATACCCACACAATTTATGTATTTACATATCTAACATCTAAAGACTAGTAATTTAAGACAGGAGTGAGGAAAAGTGATAAAGCTGTTATCTTTTGTTTTATATCATGATATTTATTCTGTGAACTGAAAACTTTCAGGGAAGTTTACATACATACCCACACAATTTATGTATTTACATATCTAACATCTAAAGACTAGTAATTTAAGACAGGAGTGAGGAAAAGTGATAAAGCTGTTATCTTTTGTTTTATATCATGATATTTATTCTGTGAACTGAAAACTTTCAGGGAAGTTTACATACATACCCACACAATTTATGTATTTACATATCTAACATCTAAAGACTAGTAATTTAAGACAGGAGTGAGGAAAAGTGATAAAGCTGTTATCTTTTGTTTTATATCATGATATTTATTCTGTGAACTGAAAACTTTCAGGGAAGTTTACATACATACCCACACAATTTATGTATTTACATATCTAACATCTAAAGACTAGTAATTTAAGACAGGAGTGAGGAAAAGTGATAAAGCTGTTATCTTTTGTTTTATATCATGATATTTATTCTGTGAACTGAAAACTTTCAGGGAAGTTTACATACATACCCACACAATTTATGTATTTACATATCTAACATCTAAAGACTAGTAATTTAAGACAGGAGTGAGGAAAAGTGATAAAGCTGTTATCTTTTGTTTTATATCATGATATTTATTCTGTGAACTGAAAACTTTCAGGGAAGTTTACATACATACTTGAATTTAAAGTGGTCATAACTGTATAGATATATCCTTAGAGCATGTAATGGGGCCTCCATGCTTAGGAAGCCTTAGAAAATTATATTCATATTGCATGTCCCAAAGGAAATACTACTGCTTTCCAACCCAACATGAAATAAATTAGATAGTCTTGTAAAATACCTAGATTATTGTATACAACCCTCATTAAAGCAGGGGCAAAAAAAAAAATATCAACATATTGTATTTTTTCCCTTATAAATAAAGAGATCATTTCATGTACAAAAGATGTCAAATTTTACCCAAAAAAGTCGGAAGGATTAACATGATTGATATGATTTACTGTTCATCATTATTCATTCATCTCTGTTGTTGTCTGTCTCTCGTTCTTTTTTTTTTCTTGCAGTCTATTTCTTAGAGTGTGATTCACGGACAAATCAAGATCTGAATTTAAAGTGGTCATAACTACATAGATGTATCATCAGAGCATTTAATTGGGGCTCCATGCTTAGGGAGGCTTAGAAAATTATATTCATATTGCATATCCCAAAGGAAATACTGCTGCTTTCCAACCCAACATGAAATAAATTAGATAGTCTTGTAAAATATCTAGATTATTGTGTACACCCATTAAAGCAGGGGGCAAAAAACTAATATCAACATATTGTATTTTTTTTCTAAAAAATAGGGAGATCATTTCATGCACAAAAGATGTCAAATTTTATCCAAAAAAGTCGTAAGGATTAACATGATTGATACGATTTACTGTTCATCATTATTCATTCATCTATGTTGTTGTTTGTCTCTTTATTTTTTTTCTTGCAGTTTATTTCTTAGAGTGTGATTCACGGACAAATCAAGATTCAACACATATAAGAACTACACACACACACACACACACACACACACACACACACAAATATATGTATAACTTGTCGATTTGGTTCAAGCCTACTATAACGAATCAATGATCAATCTTACCGAACTTGACCCGAATGGACCCCTATCTGCATGCAATTAGGGCTATTGAAACGGCTCGTTTGCAAACAACTCGTGTTTGCCGTGTTCGACTCGTTAAAAAGCTTGTGTTTGATTCGTTCGTTAAGTCAACGAGTCAAACAAACAATTTTTTTTGACTCGTTTTGGTTCGAAACAATTAAATTATATATATATATCTGTGTGCGCCCACACTCATGAGCCCCGACTCATTGGTACCAGCCTTGGCGTAAGACCCTCGGGTCGGGAGTTTGAATCCCAGCACTTTCAAGAAGATTTGAATAGCACAATGCTGAAAAGGGGCCCGCCCCTCGATCAGTTGGACCGTCAATCAATCTTTTTTTTATATATATATATATATATATAATTAATTAATTAATGAGTAGTATTTTTAAAGAATTAATTGAGTATAAGTCTATAAAGATTTATAATCAGATAAAATTATTAATTTAAAATAGAATAAAAATATGTTAAGTATATTTAAATAATATTTTAATATAAATAATAGTATTTTACAATTGGCCTTAAAGTGCGAAAAGCGGACTCACGAAATTAAGAAAATCGTATATTTTAAGGAATGATCCGACTCCTCCTGACAAGCGGTGGTAGAAGACAATCGGCCTAACCATTGCCGTTTAATCAGGCTTCCGGTAAGCCTTCCATAGATCAGAAATCAGGCTCCGGCCGCAGCGTCTCCCGGGTTCTATACACACAGGAAGACGAGAGTTACAACACTAACTCGGCGTTGGAATCCTGTAAACTCACCGTTCTCCTTCCTTAAGGTTTTTCCAATGCATCTTTCTAGTTTCTTTTGATTCCTTTCATCCGATATGGTGAACATTTCTTGCTATTTTGTATGGACCGATTTACTAATTTGAATAGGTTTGTGATTTGTTAAGCTGCATGCCGATTTCTGCTTGTATACGTGCGGTCTAGAAGTTTATGATTTGGGAAGAATCACTGACCGATTTAGGTTCTATTTGGGACAGCATTCTGTGTGCTTTGAGTTTCAAACTATCACCACAGTTCTGTTTAGGAGCTGCATTCTTGCTGATTTTTAGAAATTTTTTGTGACAGAAAACTATTTTGTTCAACATAGCCTGTTAAATTGCGGTGCGCCAGAAGGTGTTGTCAGATTTTTTTGAAAAGTAATTATATATTTATGATTCATAGTTTTCTAAGAAGTTGTTTCCTGGGTCACAAATTTACAATCTCCTTCTATCACCTTTTTGAAAAGCTGCAGGGACATGACTATGAAGAGATTAAGTTTGCATTTTAAAAAAAAAATTCAAAGCGTTATTATAAAGGCATTGACAACACTTTTGATTGCCTTTAAATTTCGGGCTGTTTTTAAGAAATTATGTGGTGAGAAAATTTTTCAGAATCAGATCGGTTAGATAGAGTATGGTTTTGATAGATTATGGTAGCTTTAGGAAAACTGTTGTTGGATTTTGTTCTTGAAAGGATGAAGTCAATGTTACCGAACTACGATCGTTCCAAACAGAAGTTGGGGTACTATTTTTATTACTTATAAAAGAAATATAAGCAACTGTTTCATATGATTTAGGAGGAAATTTTATGCTTTTTCTTCTTCTTTCAAACCTGCAAGTTTTAAGACTGATATTTTTTATGGTACTGTTTAAATTATGTTTGAAATTTCAGTGCCTGGAAAATGAAATGAGTTTCTTATATTAATGAGCTGTTTGATTTATTGAAACATGCTATATAACATTTTATTAATAGCAAGATGTTGGATGTTTAATTTGTTTATTTATTTCAATATTTAATATTTAAATGATAACTCCTACTCTGTTGGTATCTGTTTTGCAGCTTCTAGATATATAACAGCAAACCGAAGTTACAAATTGCATCATAATAATATTGATGTCCTTATATTACTTACATCTCAGAAACATTGCAATCTAAAAAACTAAACTGTAGATTCCGCATCTGATTTTTAGAGATTCTCTTCAAGGATTTTAAAAGATCAATAAATTTTCCATAAAAGATGCTTTTCCTGTGAAAATACTAATACAATGTTGCTGATGTAACATGTAAAAGCTTGACTCTGATAAAACAACTTATTTGTTTAGGAATAAGAATTAACAGTATGCAATCCAATAAGTATTTTATTTTAGTTTTTAAATTTGTTGCATTGAACTTTTCACACTTATGCTCTCTTTTTTTTTTTTGAGATACCTTACATTTACAAGAACAAAAATTTCTTGTAAAGCAAATGTTATGTGGAAGAGGATGTTTTTTGTCAGTTCTTAGAGCTTAATATAATATTTCTTTTATAAACATTTACTTAACCCTTAATTATAACAAAATTCTTATAAGAGCTTAAGATATTATGCATCTTTTCATGTTTTGTATTTTCGAGTATGTATTGTGTTGTCAATTCTCACCATACATGTATAGTAAGTGGTGATGATGAGTTTCTTATTAGTGTGTTAGGTCTGACTTGATATCATGTATGAATCACATGATAAGATATTTTCAAGCTTTTTGTGTTAATGTTTAAAATATGTTAGGTGTTTTATTAGGTTTTGACTTAGTATTTATATATCAATGATATGGCAAATTATATATTAAGATTTTTTGTTGCAAATATAAAAATTGGTTCGATGATTTTACATAAATTTAATATTTAAAATTGTGCAATTGAGTATTGAGACAGTTTTCATTCGTGAGAGGAGACATAAGCGTTTAGACTGCTTGAGGCATAAATCTCACCATTTAAAATTATTTAGTTAAAATAATGTGTTAAAATATATATACTAGCTTCATAATTTATAAATATATGAAAGGAAGATATATTAACATTATAACATGATAAAAATTGATAAACTGTATAAAATGTCAAAGTAAGACATTAGATAAGTTTAGCATAAAATATTTTCACCTATATTGTCTAACACAAAAACATCCATAAGATATAAATATGTAGATAAAAAATGATTAAAAGCCCTCAACGCACTCATCACTTAAGGGAACTTTATTAGAATCATCATTATAATGTATACATTTCTCTCGTATCTCTTCGGCAGATGAGTATAAGTTTTCCCTTCTTGTTTAACCTCAATCATCTTTCTTTTACCTATTAGGTAATAAAAGATTAATCAATAAAAAAGCTGAAAATTAACATTTAAAACAACTTCAAATGCTTAAAATTTTAAAAACATCTTATATTTTTTTATCTCTTATTATCTAGTGTTTGATGTACTACCCTTGTTCCTATTTCCATAAAAAATTCAATGATAGACCTACTTCTTGTAACTCAGTTGTGGTGACCATATTATCTTCATCTACAAATCACTTATCATCTGATGACGTCATCACATAATAGAGGATCCTCTTTATCCTCAAACCTCTTTTCTTTAAACTTTTATCATTCAACTTCTTGTTATAAACATGATATACCCCAAGAAATTTATCCTTAAAATCGTCAGAATGTTTCTCTTTTTTTGTGTGAAATTGATTCTATGTGCTCCAGTTATGCTCACATTTAGGTGACGAGCATGTAAATTCTACTGTTTTAATATCAAATATTGAAGCTCTTGAGTACCATCACTAAACTGGATCCATCTTTCAATTATATTTGAATGAAAGTTATATAACTATAAATTAAAAAGTTAGTGCTTAGATACTCAATTATTATTTCAATAAACAGATTAAATATTAAAATTTTTTCCAGGAGGTAGTTTTGCAACGTCTTTTGTTTGTTGTAGCTTAAAGAAATTTTGCTTATTCCTAAATGGAATAGGTTGCATATCAACAGTTCTATTATTTGGGCCAGCAGTTAATTTATTCATATGATGATATAGTCCCATCTCGATATCAGGATTTATAGAGTTGTTCTCAGCATATTGAAATTGCATGTAAATGATGATGGAACTGCAACTCCTATTTTTCATTAATGATATTCCAAATCTCTTCATCAGTGTCATTTTCTCCTCCTATGTTATGATCTATCAACTCCTTGGTTTCATCCATTACATTGTAAATAAAACTCATTGCTGGTTTCTTCTCTATATCCACCATTATCAAGACTTTTATTAATGACCTAGTGGTTGTGATTGCATATGTGACATTAGATCAAAATAATTTTCTATCCACTTTTCTCTCAAATTTTTTAGCCCATGCACAACTAAGCGAAGTAGTGGAAATAAAAATTGTTTCCAATAGCTTCCTAGCTTCCTAGCTTCCAACATACTGTGCAGAGTTAAAAATAGGCTATAACAAATCATATTGTAGCAGGACCAAGAAATTTTTTAGTCATAAAGCTTTTTTTTAAAGACAATACCCAAAAATGATTGTAAATAAATTTATTAATTTTCTTGGATCTAGTCAAGGCATTTTTTTGTTGGGACAATTCACTAATCTTGTTTAGTATCAAGTTTATATAATGTGCAACACAATTTGTCCAGTATAAATATTTTTTCTTCTCCATCAATTTATTTTCAACTGTCATATAAGCCCTTGTATTATCTGTCATAATCTGAACTATCCAATTCTCTCCAATTTCTTTAATTCTTCCATCAAACAGTCAAAAAATATATTCTGCATCTTTCAGGTGATCATAAGCTTCTACATATTTCAAAAAAAAAAAAAAATTTATATGGATTATTGATTAGAATGTTAATCAAGCTTCTATTATTTTATGCCTAATTACTTATCAAACATAATTGTTATTCCAGTCTGACTCTAGGTTCTTTTAATCACATTTATGTTTTTCTATGTATTACTCAGCTCCTCTTTCAAAACGTGTCCTCAAGTTTTACATAGATGAGAGTTTCAAGCCTTGATCATAAGCACTAATAAATTTGAAAAATATTAAAAGAGATATTGCACGTTAAATGGAATAAATTCTCATAAGCAAATCTCCCAATATTCATGCAAGCACATTTGCGTGCATCTCTAACATACTCTAGAGGCATTTTTTAAGCTATAGTTGCGCCCTCTCCATGACTCTTGTTGTTCTCCTCATTTCTTATATATTGATATAAAGGATTTCATGTACCTCTATTAGACATTGTTTATAGAGATGATAAGGAATCCATGACACCACACTCACTCCTGTGGTAAGGGCCGACATTAACTCTATCATCAAATAGTTGTTGTGCAAGATTCTTTGACATCATCGACTTTTCTTATAAGATTGAATTTTTTCTTTGTTGACACTTTAACACACATGTAATATTTTTTTGCGAACAAGAGAGGTGTTCATTCTCTTAACACATATTTTAACTACTTTATTATAGTAATTTTATTTTAGATAAACACGTTTTATCATTGCCTCCATTATCAACTTGCACGCTATGCTTATTGTATCTTTTCAAATGCTCCATGTGAATTTTTTCCCTCTAACCATTTCACACAAAACATGAAAATCTTAGAATAAAGATTTTGTTTTAAATTCAAACGAATTGGAAGCTTGGAAGTTAAATCTTAAAATAAAATAAATACATAATGTTTGTAGTTATAGAGGACTTTAGCTTTATGAAACTTGAAGAAGATACTTGAGGAGGAGGGAGTGGCATGACAACTACTACTGTGACAACAACAATCAATGGTGGGAGGAGGTAGTTGCAATAGTGTCGAGGGCAGTAGGAAGTGAAAATAATGGTGGTGACAAGAAAAAGTGTAGGTGCAGCAAGAGATGGTGCTAGGTGTTAGGTGGTTGCAATAGAGGGTGCAGTGGGCGGCGGTGTCAAGAGAAACAAGAGGTGGAGGTGAGAGAGGCAGTGGCGTTGCGGAAACAAATGCAAATGCAAGCTAT